TGCCTAGATTTTCAAAAAGAAATGTGATTAAGTGCACATACTGCAGGGAATGTAAATTTCAAGCAGACTGGAGCACAATTATGATGTTCAAACACTGTAAAAAGTAGACCTGAATAAAAAAAATTGAATAAACAACAGATTTTCATTTAAAATAATCTTAAAAATTGCCCAGTGACATGAAATTTCTTTTTTTCTTTCTTTGGTTTAATTTTTAGGCAATAGGCATTCCATGGCACTGAAATGTTTGAACAATTTAATTGTGGTCATAGACCAAGTGGACACCCCACAGTGCTGATTAAGATGCCCTTGTTACCACCTAATCAAACAAGATAGGTCAGACATAAAAGGATGGCATATCAAATTCATACTTGCGTTGTTTAAGAAATACTTACTTATGAAGCTGGAGAGATGGCTCAGTGTTAAGAGCTGGCCGCTCTTGCAGAGGACCCAAACTGATTCCCAATACCCACATGGTGGCTAACAACTATCCATAACTCCCATTTCCAGGGAACCTGAGGCCCTCTTCTGACCTCTGTGGGCATTGAAGGACATGGGTACACCTACCTACATGACATAACACTGTTACACATAAAATAAACATAATAAATAAAAATTTTTAAAAAGGAATACCTACTTAGGAATGTGAGAAACTGTGTTGCAAATCTTTTAGTCAGAGATGGGCATTTTGTTATCATTTTATGCTTTGCACCATTCAATGAAAGGACAGGAAATTAGATACTAACTCTATTATGAAGACATTTAGCTAAATTTTCTAAGCCAAAAGATCACTGTAACAGAGGGTTTTATGGCTGCCTGACTTAAGAAAAAAAGAGCTTGAGCAAAGCCAATTTTTAAAAAATTTCATGTATTATTTTTACTTTAATTGTATGTATCTATGTGTATTGCATTGCCTGCATGTATGTAAGTGTACCCATGTCATATAATGTCCATGTTCGTCAGAAAAAGGCTTTGAATCCCCTGAAACTGGTGTAGCAGATGGTTGTTAGTCACCATGCAGGTGCTAGGAACCTACCTGCAAGAGCAGCCAGCTCTGAACGCTGAGCCATCTCTCCGGCCTCATGGAGTCTATTTTTTATGTTTTATTTAATTGTTTTTTTAATGTGTAGGAGTGTTTTACCTACATTTAAGAGCACCATGCGCATGCAGTGCCCATGGAGGCCAGAAGAGGGCAACAGAGTTATGGGTGGTTGTTAGCTGCCATGTGAGTTCTGGAAACCAAACCTAGTTCCCCTGTCAGAGTAGCAAGTGCCCTTAACCACTGAGCCAGCTACCTAACCCCTGGCTGCCTTTCGAGACAGATCAAATTTATTGCAGAACAACTTTCCTATCATTAAGGACACGAGAACGTTCTTATGTGAATAAACTCTGATATAGTAAATAACTGTTAGAATTTGATTGTACCCTTGCATTACTGTCTGTCTTTGGATGCTCATCACTGAAAACATCCAGTTATTAGTAGTATGTCACTTACCTCAGGATGCAAATTAGTATGAGAAAAACAACCAGACTTAATGCCAGACACCTGGATGCATGAACTGACAAGGTATTTCCTCAGTGCTCTGGTTTATTAATATGAGAAATACAGAAATAATGTACGTTGTATAAGATTATATTAAGAACAGCCTAAGAGGACAGGCAAACTCATAGCCTTCAGTGAACTTTGCTCTCTCCCTGTTCACCTAAGAGACCGAAACCAAACCAGCTGGAAAGTGCCCGTGTTCAGAGGCTCTGTGCTTTGCTCACCAGTGTTCTCTAGGTGTTCTATCAATTCTGCTCCTATTTCTGACTTTCCTTTGTAAGACTAAAAGGACCAGGACAGAGAAGGCAATGGAATCTTTCAGCTGTTCACATTGCGATTCACGATTGTACTACTAACTAGCTTTCTTTGAAAACTTCATTAGGACCTAAAGCATAGCTCTGCTACTGGCAGGGAGATCTTTATGCTTTTGCTTTCTCCTGATAAATCTAAAAAAAGAGAAGCTGAAGGTTCATTTCAGCTCTGTAACTCTGTGAACTCCACCAATTTTTATTCTGCCTTGAAATTGAACCAACTCAGAGGTTTCTCAAAGAAGAATAATTTTGCCCTTGCTAGCAAACGTAAAAGAACTGAATAAAAGAGGCGGCAAGCAGCGCTTTCCACCTCCGGCTGTTGGAATATGAGAATAACTGAGCTATTGAGCAAGGGTTTCTCTCAGGATCTTGCGGCCTTTTGTTCTCTTTCCTTCCCCCTTGAGTCTCCTAGAGACCTTGCATCTTCCAAAGTATATTTCTGCCTTTTCCTAAGTTTTCATTGGTTTACAACAGTGTATAAAGAATGTGGATGCTCTCTAGAGGACTGGACACTATTTAGAATCTCGAAAAAACTGTAATGTGTATATTAATTTTTAAAAACAGGAACTTGGATTCAGTGTATTGAAATGTCACATCCCAAGATGAGGGGCCCTAATCATAAAATCACTGCTGGCAGCACACTGTAGACTACACCATGGAAAGAAAGGTACTTAAATGTAAAACTCAGAAGTAAAGGAAGTCCTAAGAAGTATTTCAGTTTCATAAAAACCTATATCCTTTTCAGTTACCACAGAATATAATCAAATTTCAAAGATAAATTTTTAAAGGAAAAGGCATGATTCCTGAAATTGTTCCATTTTCATATGATTTTCTACACTATGACATACACATTTAAAAATTTTCTTCATTATTTGTGCATGTGTGTTTGTACAAGGGGTATACACAGGGACATGTGTGCCACGAGACACCTGTAGAGATCAGAAGACAGCTCTGTGCAGTTAGTTCTCTCCTTTTGTCTTCGTGGGTTTCAGGGTTTGGACTCGGGCACTCAGGCCTACCTAGTAAGCACGTTTACCCATTGAACCATCTCACCAGCCTGACATTAATTGTTTTAAAATTTGGTAATAATATCATTATATAAGTAGAACATCAGAATTTAAATTTTAAAGCATAAATATTTGATTAAATGATAGTACACAATTTTTAAAATGAGATTACTTGTTTGAAATGAAATTTCTTAATATTTATGACGTTATAAGCATTTTATGGGTCTCCCCCAAACAAAACTAAAATATTATAGTTTTATGAAATATTGCAAAAGGATAAAATTACAAAGGAACAAATTTATATAAAAACAACTTTATCGGGACTGGAGAGATGGCTCAGTGGTTAAGAACACTGACTGCTCTTGCAGAGGACCCAGGTTTGATTCCCAGTACCCAGGGTGGCTAACAACCATCTGTAACTCCAGTTACACACATATAGGCAATACACTCACACATATAAAATATAATAAATAAAATATTTTTTTAAAAAATAATTTTATCTTAGATAAAATAACTTTTTTTTTACTTTTCTCTAAAAGCTACTTAGTATTCAATAATCATGTTACTGATAAAAAATAAAAAAACAACACATACACACAATTATCAACAGTATTTTCAAAATGAAGGGATTTTAATTATGACTCTAGAGGCCTTTGCAGAAGTTTAAAGATTGTAATCATTGTGTAATCATGCCCTTTCTTAATAAATCTGTAATATATTTCCTAACTTTAAGCATAAGTTCCGTAAAGTTCCCTGTTCTTGGAAGAAACTAAATAGTAAAAAATAAAATTTTTCATTTTAAAATAAATGTGACTGGCAGGATTCCTGTTTAATGTGTAGACTTGTCTGTACTTTTCCTCACAGAGAGGTAGAGTCTGAGCCAGGCTCCACACCAGTATACTTGAATATAGTAGAGGAATGGTCTTCAGTAGGCTTCACATAAAAGAATGGTTTTAATAAATAACAGTGAAGGAAATATGGTATCCAGAAAAATAAAGTAACACATGGTGAAGACAGAAAAGTCAGAAGAGAACACATTAGTGGAATATGAGGATTGAAGGTGTTTGTCTTTATGACCCAGAATAAGATTTGGTGTCCCCGGTGCCTGGTTTTTCTGTTATTCAACTTAACACACTCCAAAGTCAAGTAAATTAAAACAGTATTAAAATTGTTTTGAATCCATGGTTTTTCTGTTATTCAACTTAACACACTCCAAAGTCAAGTAAATTAAAATAGTATTCAAATTGTTTTTGAAACAATCTTGTTAAGAGGTCAACAGTACCAGAAATGCTAAGTACTGCATTTAGAGTGTTTCTTCTGGTAAATATTAGAGGTTCCTGTGTCGTTCTGCACCTGTATGACTTGTTTGCCTCTATTTATTTTTATCTTGTAAGAGCAAAGTTTAGCTCTTCTTGTGAATATACTACTGACCATTTAATTGTGTCAGACATGTGGCACAAATGACCAATTCATTTTCCTAAGCAAGGAGAACTGAAAGAAACAAAGCTGGTTTTGAGGCTTGTCCTTATGCAGAGAAACATTTCTTTTTTATTAGCTCCATCTGATGGCTGAAATGGATTTTACACACTGTCTGCCTGAATTCTCACCCACGGTTTTGTTGGTTCCTCCTCTCTGCCATCAGAAAGGTGTACTATGTTGAGAAGAGGCTAATTAGCCAACTATACACCCAATTACTTTACTAAACCCCAAGTATCCACTATGGTGAACGGTAAAGGATTACATGCAATGTTCCTTATAAGAAAAAAAGAAATTTTGTCAATCTTATGAGGTCTTTTAAATTTTAGGCCAACAAATACAAATATTAAATAGTACAATGGAATGGAATTTAAAATACAAATATCTTTAAACAGTGCATATCTTCACACTTTCATATCAGACAACCATGAACTGCTAAATTTATACTGATATGTACAAGGAAAACAAGTTTTAAGCACATAAAACTACTATTCATATTTTACAGTGATGAACTAGTTTGGAAAAACTTAATTTATGTGACAGGTATCATATCTTCATATGAATATCAATGCTAAAAATACAATTCTGCCTCAGTTTTAATTGGTTTTTGATAAAAATATTAGGACTTAAGTATTGAATAACAAGTAAGTTAAGAAAATACTCTACCTCAGCATCATATTCCCATAGCTGGTTTCCTCTCATGTGGTGGCATTTTAACATGATTACAGGCCCATTGAGTCTGGATACATCCAAGCACAAGTCATCAGTTCGGATTTCTTTGTCAGCAGTATAGGAAAACACCTGAAAATATATAATTCAGACAATAATGTGGTATCTACACAAAATTCGTAGTCTACTGTGATACTTGCTTGATGAATCTCACGCATGTTAATTAAATTCAGTTAATTAAAACTGAAGTTTGCAGACAGCATGAACTCCATCAAAGACTGCCTTTGTCTTTTTTACCTTATTGCCAATTCACTGGCTCTAAAGACAATCTTTTATTTCTATTTAAAAGTTTAAGAACATCTAGTAAATTTGATTAAATACTGTCAGCAGGTTTGTGAAGGTAGAATTATCTTTTTGTGATCTCATTAAGTGTAGGCTTGTAGTCTCCTATATTTATCGTCTATGATTTGGGCAACTCTTGACACCATCGATTAATTTCAAAATATCCAGGAAATGCCAAGGCAAATCATATACTCACTGGGAACTCAAATTGAAGCTATAGGTATTTTTTTATTATTTTGCATTTAGTGTGAATCATTTATTTTTGACATTGACTATTAAAATTTCATGATGGTTAGTATAAGCATATTTCTAAAATTTGCTTTCTAAAATTTGCTTTCTTCCTTGACTATGATCAGCATGGTTCATTTCATGGGTTTTTCTTTTTAATTTCCATGTCATCATAGGGAATTTTGTTTTTCCAGGAACTCTGAAGACATCAACTCAGCAACAACTGATAAAAACTGGATCCCTAACCTACAGGCTGAACAAGTACATTTTAAAAAACTGTTGCATAGCTGAACAACGCAGCTCAGTGGTAGAGTAGCTGACTAGCACATGGGTGGTCTAAGTTCAAACCACAGTAGCAGTAAAAGAAAAAGAAATCTGGTAACCATCTGCTTGAAATCGAAATGACAATATTTTATATGGGGCAGAGGACAGGGTGGGAGAGGGTTAACCAAAACTAAAAATGTATCAAGAGACTTACAGAAACCCATTACCTTGTAAACTAAAAATACAATTTAAAATGAAGCAGTTTAAATGGAGGTCCTCTGTAAGGAGGATGGTGCCACTGCCAGAGGCCATGTACAATTAAAGGATAATCCCAGTGCCAGGAGTGGGATATCTCCCTATGAGAGGTTGGTCAGGGAAGCCTCAGAGACCCCCCAAACAACATGGGCTACTGTCATTGCTCACAGTTGCCCATCAGAACTTGATAGTAAGACCTTCTTGCCGAAGACCCCACATACTTTGCAGGGCATTCAGAAATCAAACTAGAAGAAACTGAAAACTGTCTCCCTGCTGGTTAGCTTTCATAGGACTGGAAGGTGCTTCAGAGGATGTCGGTCTCACCCATCAGTGAACCATGTATGCTACAATATTGATCTCCTAGGTAAGATGTGCCCACTGGTGCAATAATGGTATGAATGTTATGGGGATGACCAAACACTTTCTGCCTGGATTTGAGATCCACTCCGCAGGAGGAAATTCATACCTGGCACTGTAAATCTGGTCAAAAGTTAGGGAGGTCATAGGCCCGAAGGTTGAACCTACTATTGTCATTTTGCTAAACAGACATTTTGTGAAACTGCTCTCTAAATATTTATGTTTATAATGATAGATTAGTGCTGTTCTTGACTTTGTCCTTGGCCTAAAAGAAGCATCTGAGAATAAGTGATCATTTAGTGCTCAGACCTAAATAAGACATCTGTTTTACACCACAACCCTCGTGGTTCATGGAACATTGTAGAGGAGGGCATGGAAAGCATGTAAGAGCCAAAGAATGGGAAGGAGGGCTGTGAAACACTGTCTTATGGATAGTGGCCCTTGCAGTCATAAACTCAAAGCAGGTGTGGTTACTTAGCCTTCAGGAGACTGAAGCCATCAACATTCCAGCATGAATGGGGTAAGGATACGTGAGACCATATCTCTAGCTGCTTGCAGGTATGACTGCTGGGGGAGGGGAGTTTATTTCCTTCAGGATGACAGCCATCAATAAACTGTCCCTGATCTAGTAATAACGCCACACTTATGCATATACAAAAAACCTTTATTAAATTCAGTGAGTTATTACAGAAAAATAAAGACTTGAAGGTAAGAGGAGCATGTGTTGGGAAGAAAGGTCCAGGTGGAGTCCCAGGGAGACAGGAGAGGTGAATGGAAGGGGAATATGACCAGAATACTTCATATGCATGTGTGAAACTTTCAAAGGATAAATTAAAAGTTATAAAAACATTTTTAAAAGATTGCCTCTGCATAACAGAAAAAAATCACAAGTGTGGAAGAAGCTGCAACCTATGTTGCAACCAAGATTCTTCTTAGGCTCACCACTAAAGACCAGTATTCTCCACAAAGCTTTGAAAGTCTGCTGAGCAATATAGATATTTGAGAAATTTGTGATATTAATTTAATGTATCATAGACTTCATGTACAAAATTCAGAAATAAATTCCCTATCTTCTTGCTTTTTCATGCTCATCCTGTTTATGAAAAAATAAATTAGCCAAAAGAAAAGGAAAAGAAAAAGAATCAAGATAAATATTTGTATCCACTCTAAAGATTGTAACTTTTAAAAGGCAGTAATTATTTTATTTAATAATATAACTGAACCTAGTAGCAAATATACAAGAAAGAATGTTCTGGAGAAATTGTGCTTACCCACTGTAGCACTATGTCAACACTAAAGAACAACACTAAAATTACTTTCTTCTAATTGTATAGAAAGCACCAATGTAAAACAAGTCTGTAGACCATCTACCCTGAGCATTAGTTTCCTACAGGAAGAATGGTAATAGCTTGAGCAAGAATTCTCTTGAGATTTCTTAAAAACAATTTATAAAGCATACTTTTAGAATGTTCTAGAAATCAGTCTACCATTGTGGTGGTTTGAATGAGAAACAGACCCCATAGGCCTAGTTTTCTGAAAACTTTATCCCCAGTTGGTCACACTGTTTGAGGACGTTATGGAAGATACAGCCTTGCTGGAGGAAGTATGTACTGGGACAGGCTTTGAGTGACTCTCTCTGCTTCATGTTTGAAGACATGATTGATCAGCTTTCTGCTTGGGCTGCCTGCTGCCATGCTTTTCCTGCCATGATGGTTCTGTCCCTCTAGAACCATAAACCAAAACTATTTCTTCCATAAATTGCTTTTGACCATGGTATTTTATCACAACAATAATAAGTAAGTAACTAATGCAATCATATTCTTTGTCCTTCAAATTCATTCATTCGGTTTTTAACTTCATAATAATTATAGGTAATGTACATCTGAGATATATTTATAAAATATTTTCTGTGAATATGAATATTTGAAATTACTTTTTGTGGCCTTTGTACTAGAATAATAATTAACTGTTTTCAAAATACTTGATCTGCAAATAGATTTTTCTGATACCAATAAATAGTGATTCATTATTTTCTGGCAGCAATATAAAATCAAGATTAATTTGCTTTTATAGTTGATAAATAATCTTGTTTTTTTTCTTAATTATTTTGGAGTTTTTCTCTATAATAATAGTCAATGCATGTTAATGAACACTTGTTTTTTTTATTTTATCTGGAGATTATTAGAGATGAAACCTAAAGGGGCCTGCCCATGGCCCCTGCCCACAGAACTGAAGGAGAAGTACTCATACCTGATGGCAGACTTTCTTGACCCCTTTTACTACTGCCACCTCTATATCCTCTAAGTCGGAGGTCCTTAAGACTTTTGGGACAGCCTCAAGTCTCCTGATGAATTTCCTAGACAACAACTGTCCCCTATGGCTATTGCCTGATGGATGTCATAAGATTCCATTTCAGCATATATGTGGAGTTTCCAGTACTGGATCTGCACAGTCTGTTCCCCGACTACTGTAGCTGAAACCTTTATGCTTAACCATAAAGTAAGATCAAATATCTCAAATCTAACTACCGTCAAAGCTCTTTAATTTATGCTGTCACACATGTTGATGACTATCTGATAGATTTCCTTCATTAGTGAAGTCTTATCATTTATTCCTACAAAAAACCAGAAACAATAAGTTTTTATAAAATTTAGGATCTAAATTTATCATTGGTAACCAGTACTTAAAAGAATCAGAAGTGAGTTACAGAAACCTTTGATTTAGATAGGTTTTCAATTGCCACATTGCTAACTTCACTAGTAATGAATGGTCAACATTCCAAACACATTAATTAAGCTAAGGTGACTAGAAGATAAGAGTAAAAATGCTATTGACTTTCCCTCCACCAGACAAGAGGAAATGAGAATTTCACAGTAATGGAGGCCTTACCTTGGTGAGGAACCCCATATACATGCTTCGTACATACTACATTAATAAATTTCCCTTCTGTTTCAATGTGAAAGAAGATTTATATTTCTATCAGTATACATCAGTTTGTAGTATCACAAATTTCAAAGAGTTGTATATCTAAATGTAGCACATTCTAAGGTTTGGGAATCCAATACACATATGAGGGAGAAGGGCACAATTTATCCCATAACACCTATTAATCCCAGGAGATCTACCGAAGGAGAAAATATATCTTGTTCTAATCTAAAGGGAAAGCTATGGTGTGCATTGTTATTATGGTTGTTGGTATTGCTGATTTGTCAAGGCCTGCATAAAGATTTGATAATTTAACATTTAGAATGTGCTGCTTAGTAGTTTTAATCTAAATAATGAATGAAATGTGGTATCAAATTTTAGCAGAGAAATGGAGCTGCCATTGCCCTTTGGAGCCCAGAAGATCATGAGTGAATCCCAGCTGTCAGATACTGAGCAAAGCTGCTGGACTTTGGTTCTGCTTAAGTGTGCCCTGGTTCTTCCTTCTTGGAATGACAGTAAATTATTTTGAATTTTACAGGAGCCCATAGTTAAAAGACTTTTTTTGGCTTTCTTTTTTAAAGTTATTTATTTAATAACCACATGATTAGAAGAAGCATTTCATTCACAGTTTACTCAATAAAATTATACAATATTGAACTCAGTATAAACTCTATAAAACATAAAATTGAATGAGGTTTTAGCCTTTAAAAAATATCTCCATTTCATTTTGAAATATACTGTTTTATACAGAAAAACTCATT